AAATTCTAGGGGTCTGAGTACACTTTCAGCAGCCCCTGCTGGCCCTAGGGAACTGGAATGCCATTGCTAGGAAAGGCAGAAAGTAACACGCTAATTTATGAAAAGCCAGTATAGAAAATCTGCCAGTATGGAAAATCCTCGGCCCCAAGGAAGTTCTAATACACCGAGCAGGTTTCTCACTGCATTAAATCATATCTAATTCATCTTTCCAAGTGCCCGAAAACCAGATTGGAACTGGCTCTTCAAAATAGGCGTTTTCTGATTTCTAGTCCTTCAGCTAACAGAATCTTCCACTGAAAATGCTGGATCCTCAGAAATTTTTCAAGAAAGAAATATGCATGCCATTAATGCCTGTACTTCATAATCCCAGACAAAAGGAGATGTTCACTAGGCAACATCTGTGAAGCCAGTTAGCAAAAGCAGCAGATAAACACAAATTTTGTCAGATACAGAGAACACATGACAAAGTTTACTTTAATGTTGTTTTTCCTTGTTTGAAGTCCAGAATTTATTTTATATTCCCTTATTTTGGACACTACAACAGTGCGCCAGAAATGAAAAAATGCCAACCAATGCTGTACCTAACACGGGCTACAGGGAATGTTGGGGTTTTAGTGGTCCCACCTGCTGGCAGTTATTTACTGTAACAGGGAAGTTAATAATGGTTGTGTTCACAAGCAGTGTAGTGGATCAGTGGCCCCACTTTTGGGGTGAAGCAGTGCTGAGGACCCACCACCCACACCACACACAGTTCTGGTGGATTATTTAACGTTGGTTTAACTTGGTGCCAGGGCCCAAATGCCCTCAAACACCTACAGAGGGTATTTGATGTACTGCTGCCTCACACTCTTCAGTCCATATGCTGTGGGACTGCCCGATTATGAGAGCCAGAACAAGGTTTAAGCAGGTGAGATCAGCGGATTCCACTCAAAAAGTTCATTTCTAAACCAAACCCTTCACATCAGTAGCATGTGTTCTGCTCCTGATTTCCTTCCTGGGTCTTTGCTCTTCGCAGCTGTCCTGGCATCGGGGTTTGGGACTTTTCCTTTCGTTTCTTTCTCTCACGGAACTCTGCTTCGTCCGTCGCTAAGGTCGAACCCACAACGAGCGATACGAGCGACACCGGAGAGACGAAAGGAGCGGCCACGGGCCGCTTAGCCGGGGTTTCTGCTGGGGGACGGACAGACGGACAGACTGTGGGATTCGGGCTGGGCGCAGGTTCCTGCTGCCTTCTCCCCCGTGAGTGCAGCTGTACCTACGGAGAGGCTGTTGTCCCGGAACCTGGCTCACACCACCTCTCTAAAGAGGGACCCTTCACCATTTGCTCGGGTGTCTCAGGGAGAGCCCCGGTCCCTTTCCCCCTCTATGGGAGCCTCTCCCGGCCGTGCTCGGGAGCCGCTGCCCAGCCCCTCCGCTTCTTTCCCCGTGTCCGGTTTTGCTACACCGTACCCACGCACCCCCGGTCACAGCTGCCGCGTTTCTGCTGCCTCTCGCCTTCTGCCCGGAGGGCCCGGCCCGCCGTTCCGGGGCTCCCGCTGCAGCCATCCCGTCCCTCTGTCCGTCCCTCCCGTCCCTCTGTCCGTCCCGTCCGACCCTGCGGACGCCGCCGGTGGCACAGCGCCGCCTGGCGGAGCGGGGCAGCGGGGCAGCAGCGCAGCCGAGCCCGCAGCGCCCCTGGCGGCGGCGGCCGGAGCTGCAGCCGGGCCGAACGGGGCCGTGCCGAGCCGGGTCTGTGCCGTGCTGTGCCCGCCGGGGTGCCGCGCTTCTCTGCCCTGCTACACCGCACACACCCGCAAAAAACTGCCCGGCCTCTCCCCAGAGCTCTGCCCGAAAGCGCCCTGATTTAAAGTTGTAATATTCCGAGCGAAGGGGGTCACATTCTGTATTCCCGCCTTCCTTGGCACACACCTGTCTTTCGAAGCAAGGCACCTGCATTAGGAGTAGTCTCAGAATCACAATCATTTAGGTTGGAAAAGACCTCCAAGACTGAGTCAAACCCTGTTTGACCCATCACCACCTTGTTAACTACACTAGAGTGCTGAGTGCCACATCTGTGACTGTTCACAGGAGTACGAAGATGAAAGAAGAAACAAAGGTCTGACTCCGTGTTTCAGAAGGGCTGATTTATTATTTTATGATATATATTACATTAATACTATTTTAAAAAAATATTTCATGAGAAAGCTAGCTAAGAATAAAAAAAATAACTTGTGGTTCAGACAGAGTCTGAGCCAGCTGACTGTGATTAGCTATTAATTAGAAACAACTACATGAGACTAATCAGAACTCTACCTGTTGCATTCCACAGCTGCAAATAATCATTATTTACATTTTGCCCCTGAAGCCTCTCAGCTTCTCAGGAAGAAAAAACTTAGAGAAAAGATTTTCTCACAAAAGATGTCTGTGACATCGCCTCGAGCACCTGCAGGGATGGGGACTCCATCCCTTCCCTGGGCAGCTATTCCAGTGTTTGACCGCCCTTTCCATGAAGAAAGGCCCAACCTGAGCCTCCCTGGCGCAGCCTGAGGCCGTTTCCCCCTGTCTGTCCCTCCTGCCAGGGGCCGTGCAGAGCCACAGGGTCCCTCTGAGCCTCCTTCCCCCAGTGGAACCCCCCCAGTTCCCAGTCATATGGTGTGTTTGGTGTGTCACACTCCGGCCCACAGCATTATTTAGTCTTTTTGTAAGATTAGAAAGAAGGGGAAACAATCCCAGCAGATTTGGCTCGACACCTGAGGGGCGCTGAGGCAGAGCACAAGGGCTCCTTTCTGCTCCTCTGCTGAGCAGCACAGCCACAGCCCCAGGGCTCTTGGGAAAAACGCCAATCGCTTGTTTTTAATTGTTTAAAAATTTAACAGTAATAAAATGGTTAAAAAAATAGTAACACAATCAGAGTAATAACCATTCGGACGAATTGAACTAGGACAATATGAGACAATAAACACAAAGAGTTATAGACAGTCTGGGTACCTTTTTCTGGGCATCACGAGCCCGAAAAAGGACGCCCGTTAACACAGGATTAACCCTTAAAAACAACAGCCTGTTGCATATTCATACACCTCATACATGATGCATAAATTCCATTCAAACACAGGATTCTGTCTGGGCAGTGTCAGCTTCTTCCTCTGGATCCTAACAGCGCCTTCGAGGCGGGAAGAAGTTCATTTCTTCTGATAAGAGGGCAATAAATTGTCTTTCTCTGAAAGATTCAGGTGTCCTGTGGCTGCTACCTCAGTGCGAGTCCTTTCCTTAAAGAAAGTATCCTACATAGCATCGTTTATATTTTAACAATTTTTATAACCTAAAACTATATTTAACACAGCACTTAAGAGAATTTATACAGCATTACTTTCTAAAACAACACATATGACATTCATTTTAATATTTGCGAAAAGCCAATCATAAAACACGCATTTTCCACAGGTCGGACACAGCCCCCAGGGGTCTCACCCAGCCCATAGACCACCCTGTCCCCCCTGCCCTGCTCCGTGCCAAGCTCCCGCAGCGCTATGCCCGAACAAAGGGCTTTTTCAGGCATCACAAAGTTACAACCTGCCTGCAGGAACCGTACCAAATCCTCCTTCTCCGGTAGCTAAACTCCACCTAATCTATCCGTAATCCCGCAAATACTGTAAATGTTTGTGTTTCGGTTAAGAAAACCAAACAAAGCGATGCCAGGGGCGGGCAGGGGGGGTCGGGGTGCTGTTTTTGGAGCCCTTACAGGAGATTCCCACAGAGTGTCTGGGGATGCACGCGTGCTCCCGGCTCCCTTCGGACTGGAATTCGTGGGAGCAGCTCCTTCCCGGGGCGGGCAGGGCATCCCGGGGGGGCACCGGGTGCAGAATGGGGCACGCAGGTGCGGGATAGGGCGTGCAGGATGGGGAATACAAGGTGCAGGACGGGGCACGCGCGGTGCGGGTTCCGGGGTCCCATCCGCTCCCGTCCGCTCCGGTGCTACCATCGATAGCTCGGCACTCCACCGGCGCCCGCCGCGTGCCCATCGAGCAGCCAGAGCTCAGCACAGCACCGAGGGCGCGGGCGCCATCTTGGAGCCGGGCAGAGAGGCCCCTTGGGGTTAATAAAGCCGGGCTTAGGGGCAGGGCCTGCCGAGGGACGGACTCAAATACCGGCACGGGTGGGCAGGAGGCCTCCTAGAGAGCGGCTCTGCGGGGAGGGAGCTGCCGGTGCTGCTGGGCCAGGAGCTAAGCACGGTAATCAGCCTGTCCTTAGCTGGGAGCGCCGGTAGCGCCCGGGGTACGGCCGGCAGGTGAGGGGAGCTATCCTACTCCTCAGCCCCAGCCAGGGCACACCTGCAGGGCTCCCCGGTAAGGAGGGACAAAGAGCTGCTGGAGAGGGCCAGGGGAATGATGGGGGCTCTGGAGCATCACTAAGGAGAAAGGACTGGGAGCTGGGCCTGTTTATTGCAGAGAAGACAGAGAGGGGATCCCATCAATGCACGTAAATATCTTAGATGGGTGCTGAGAGAATGGGGCCAGACTTGTCAGGGGTGCCAGTGGCAGAACAAGGAAGTGAAGCACCAGGAGTTCACTACTGGCCATGAAGCGAAGCACGAGTTTAATCTCAGCATGAGGAAGCGCCTCCTTATGCTGAGGGCGGCAGAGCCCTGGAACAGCTGCTCATCGCAGAGTCTCCCTCTCCGCAGGAAACCCTCTAAGCCCATTTCCCTGTTCCCTGCTCAGGGTGGCCGTGCCCCGGCAGGGGGCTTGCCCTGGGTGCTCCCCTGAGCTCCCTTCCCGGCCCGGCGGTGCCCGGTTCCGGGGCTCTCTCCAGCTCCCTTCCCGGCCCGGCGGTGCCCGGTTCCGGGGTTCCTTTCCCGGCCGGCAATCCCCGGTTCCGGGGCTCCGCTCCCTCTCCCGCCGGCCGGGGCGGGGCGGCCCCGCGCATGCGCAGCGGCGGCCGGCGCTCCATGGCACAGGCGCGGTGGCGCTGCCGCTGCGGCCGCGGGAGGAGGAGGAGGCGAGGGGGGGCGCGGCGGGAGGAAGATGCCGGGGAAGCTGAAGGTCAAGATCGTGGCGGGGCGCCATTTGCCGGTGATGGACCGCGCCAGCGACCTCACCGACGCCTTCGTGGAGGTTGGTGGCGGGGCACGGCGGGCCGGGCCCGCGCGGGGAGGCACCTGCCGGGCCCGAACGGCGCTCCGGGAAGCGGAGCGGGGCTGTGGGGCACGGGCGGGAGCCGCTCCGGGAAGGGGGGTCAGACACGGGAACGGGCTGCCCGGGGCTGTGGGGCGGGAGCCGCTCCGGGAAGGGGGACCGGCCACCGAGCAAATGCCCCGGCGGTGCGGCCCCCGGCCCTGGAGGTGCCCGGCACTCGGGGCCGGTGTGCCCGCGGTGGTCGGTCACAGCTCGGGCTCGGTGATCCCACAGGGCATTTCCAGCCCAGTCGGGTGTCTGATCAGACAGACGTGTTGCAAGGAGGGTGGCCAAGTAACAAAACCAGCTTTGAATCGGTTGTGTTGCTGAGTATATGACTAACCAGTGCTTTACTTGTACAGGCTTTGCTTTTAAGGCCAATGTTCGTCTTTCCTTTTAAAACGTTTGAAATACTAAAATGTTTTCAAAGGGAGCTTTTCATCAACAAATACTACTGTTTGTGTGATTAAATCACTTTATTGCACCCAGAGTATCCAGCTTCAACCTTCTTTGCAGTCACGTAGTTTGCAGGCAATATGTAGGGTCTTGCTAGGAAGGGATTATAAAATGAGCTGAAGTGCAAAGTGGAATTATTGAAGGCCCAGTTTGGATGGGGCTCTGAGCCACGTGCTCCAATGGGTGACATCCCTCCCCGTGGCAGGGGATTTGAATGAGATGGACTTTGGGGTGCCTTCCAATCCAAGCCTTTTTATTGTTTCTGTTACGTGATCTTTGTTTTTTGATTCATTTTTTTCCAACATGAATGACTTAGAGCATTTCAGACGCATTCTGTAGGTTTGGGACTCTGAGAAAAATCAGAGCTATTTAAAGATGGTGTGCTGTGGACATGCATGTCTTGTACCCCAAATACTGAGTGAGGTGCACCACAAATGAGTGGTTGAAGTTGGCACGATACTAGAATTAAATAGGAAGACAGAATGCCTTGCTAGACCTGTATACACTGGGGAATATGATGCTATTAATGTAGAAACAAAATGTGGATAAGTCCTGATTTAATTTGGTGCTGAAAAATTTGGTTGCTGTTAGACTCTAAGGACATTGCTTAATGGGAGAGTAAGCTGGTGGTCAAGTGGGGATGTATTCCAGCCTTTCAGTGGAGCAGAAATAGTACATAGTTTTATTTTATTAATTGGAACTTAGTCTTTTCACTGTTAGCTGTTTCACTGGTCCGGTTTTCATTTTTAAAAGCTTCTCTTGCAGGCTGCCCGTTAATCCAGTCTGAAATTACAACAACTCTGATGCTTGCTACCAGGAGACAGGGAAAACAGGACTAGGAAATGCAGTTCACTGAGTTTCATGGGCCTGGTTTTACTCTGTGTTAGGAGAAACAGCTCTCCTCCTCTGTGGGTAACTTGTTCCCAGCCCTACTGTGGTGTAGCAAAGCAGATTCTTGAAATTATATAGTAAAATACTACCATAGCAAAAAAGGAAAATAAACATTTTCATCAAGATCAGTTTAGCTGGGTTGCCCTGCAGTTCCATGGGTGTCTTGGCACAGTTAAGGGTATAGAAATACCCAGGTGGGGGCCTTGCTTTCAGGATTGTTAATTAGGAACAGTGTGAAGGAACTTCCCTTTCCCTCTATGGAGTAGCCAATGCAGCAGGTGAGATTTATTGCAAAATAAGTTGGGATTGAAACTCTTGTTTCATTTTTCTGTGTGAGATAGCTGAAAAACTACAATGTGTTTTTCCTTAAATGCAAATGAAAAGCAGATGTTAAGGTTTTAGTTGTTTACTAACCTTACATTTCCTTGTTAAATATTGCAATATGAACTTAGAACTAGAAAGGAAAATGAGACGAGACCTCAGAGCTCTTACTTGGCTCAGGTCATGCAAAACTTGGGCTTCACTGGTGTGAACACAATGATCCTTGTCCCAGCTCAGAATATTTTGTTACAATTTCTTCCATAATGTGCTTTTAACTTTGCACAGTGGGCAGCAGGGTGGTGTTTTATTATCTGCACCAGCTTCCATGACCTGGCTGGAGCACGGGGAAAATTCAGCTATGACTGCCTGGGGCTCTGAGGGAACCGATTTACTCCCGAGATAACGCCTTAAAATGGGCTGGGTGGAGCTCAGGGTGTTGGATCCTGGCAGCCTGAGCCAGAGCTGGTGTTTCATTGGCAGCTGCCTTGCAGCCAGTGCTGACATCCCTGACTGCCCTGCAGCCAGTGCAGGGTCCCTGCAGCGCTGGGAGGTGCACCTGTGCAGGATGGTCACTGTTACTGCAGCAGACCAGGCGGTCACTTCACACTGTCCTGAGCCAAATCACCGCAGCGCTCACATCCAGGCCTGAATTGCCTTTCCAAAGTGTGTTTGGCCTTTTAAAAGATAAAAGCTGCCAAAACCTCGAACTCCAGCATTTCTTTTCCATCTGCCTAGTCATTATTTTCCTTAAGAATCTTGAATAAATTTAAAAATGTAACTTGGAGTATTTGTAAGTACCCGGTACGAGGTGCAGTGCTCATTTATTTGAGAGGCAGCATTCAGAGAAATGCAGGTGTTTGGGAATGGTTTGCAATGAGAGCTGCAGAGAAATAAGGCTCTTACATGTGCTGTGTGGCTTCCTGATGTATGGAGCATCTCAGAAATTCAGTTTCACTTTAAAAAAGGAAACAAGAAGCCCCCACAAAACCCAAATGGGCGTAGTCTGAAATAGATGCCTGTGGAGACCATATGGGTACTGCTGAAATGAGTTATTGTGTGGTTGCAGGTGAAGTAAGAGATAAGAGCATAGAAAATATTCAATTTTTAGTAGTCCTCTCTCTGTATATCTCAAATCCAGTTTGTCTGTATATTTTTTTCATCAATTGTCTGTGAAGCTGATTGAGAAATCCTAGAGAGGAGAGTAATAAACTATCGGTGTTCAGAATATTTTTCCTTGTAGAAGGCAAGGAGAGTATATAAAGTGACTTTGAATAGCCAATATAAGTGGTATTTTTGCCTCTCAAATGATTGAGGAGGAAAAGAAACAATTTTAGTAGTATGACAGGATGAGAGAGAGGTTGATTGGAAATGTCATTGACATGTGGATACTGATATATATAAATTGAATTTGAAAGCCACTCAGTGAAAAGAAAATGATTTGTTGAAATTTGTATTTGAAATTGTATATTGACTTGTATATGTCAATTACATGAGTTCCAGAATCTTTTTATTAATAATTGTAATTGCTAATTGAATGTTTTTGTTTTTAGGTGAAATTTGGAAATACAACATTTAAGACAGATGTGTATCCCAAATCGCTTAATCCTCAGTGGAATTCTGAGTGGTTCAAATTTGAAGTAAGTATTTTTTAAGAGTTGGCCTGTAACTGTATGACTGTATAGACACTCTGGTTTATCTGCCTTGATGAAATAATTGCATTTCCAGCAGAGAGTGAGCACTGGAGTGTGTTTGTGTTTGCATGCACAAACCTTTGCAGCAAACCCTGCTCCAGCCAGACCCTGTTTGCCAAGGGCGTCTCCGTGGCTTTTCAGGAGTGCTTGGGAAGATAAAAGCTTGCCAGGTTGGATCCAATTGAATGTTGTTCTGTGGCTGTCTGTGAAGGTGGGGAGGGGCAGCAGGGGAAAGGCCTTTCCAGCACAGTTATCAGTACAAGTCTGTGTAAATAAACACATAGATATGGAAGTACAGCTGTGCTCCTGGGCTTCTTTCAATTTTGAGCAAGGGAAGATAGTTGGTGTTTGAAGTCCTACGTTTGGTGGCAAGGATAATGCAGAGGAGAAAATGGAAGATTCCTCTGTGAAGATTACAAAATAAAGAGCTTGGACAACAATTGCTGGACACTCTCTCTTCTCGTTTCCTTATGTAATAATGAGGGCACGCAGCATTTTCCTGTAATTGCTTGTTGCTTTTCAGGATCTGATTTGTTGGTGTCCTTTGACATGATGCCCTGAACAAGTGTTTACATGTTTCTTTCATTTTTTTACTACTTAAAAAATGAGGATTATGTTTAGAATAAATTAATTATTGCAACACTTGAATGTGTAGTTCTGGTTCATTTACTGTGCACTAAGGCAATATCACAATTCTGCAAACACTTAGATGAGTCATCCCATTGCAGCTAGCAAACTTAATTCTTGGTTTGTGACGTTGAACACAAAAGTTGGTTAAATGGCTGTCTTTGTTCTAAAGAAAATAGTCATTATCTGTAGATGGATTATTGCATTTGTTTGGGAAATTGCATGTGTAGAATTACTGAACTCTTACTGCAGGCTGTGTAAAATACCTGCTGTTAAGCCACTGAGCAGTGATGGGAACACCATAAACTTCAGAGCATAATAGTCCTCTGAGGTATTTTATCTTAAATTTCCTTCCTTTCTTTTCCTATTTATTTATTTATTTGTCTGTCAGTATGCATTATGGAGATAGGTGGACAGTATTTTAAGTGCAACTTAAAATATTGTGGAATTTTGAAATGAATATTCTCTGTAATCATGCTTTTCTGTTCCTCTGCCAGTGATAGCTCAGTTTCCAGGATCTCACCAGTCTCTGAAGGCTAAAACCAAAATGAGTGAGAGTGCTGTTTACCTTCAGGAAGCTGACATTACAGATCTATCTGTGTGACTGTTCATTACTCACTCTCTCCTCTGCGTTGGTTTTGCAGTGTTTCCCTGCACGTTTTGCAATTCTCAGGTTTCTGTTCATGTTTGTGCTGCAGGTGGATGATGGGGAGCTGCAGGACGAGCCCCTGCAGCGGGGTTTCCCTGCACAGTTTGCAATTCTCAGGTTTCTGTTGATGTTTATTTGGCAGGTGGATGATGAGGAGCTGCAGGATGAGCCCCTGCAGCGGGGTTTCCCTGCACAGTTTGCAATTCTCAGGTTTCTGTTGATGTTTATTTGGCAGGTGGATGATGAGGAGCTGCAGGACGAGCCCCTGCAGATCACAGTCCTGGACCACGACACGTACAGTGCCAACGATGCCATTGGCAAGGTGTACATAGACATCGACCCTCTGCTCTACAGCGAGGCTGCCACGGTCATTTCAGGCTGGTTTCCAATTTATGATACCATTCATGGTAAGCTTTGCTCATTTCAAACGGGCTTCTTTGGAGTCTAATCTGCTTCCTACAATCTCATAAGCTGCATTCAGAAATTGTAATAACTTTAGCTTTGGAGTTGGAAAACTACTTTCCTGGCTTTTTTCCCCTGTGTTTTCTGACATGAGAAAATTTCTGGCAGGGGAGTAAAGACTGGTGCTTGGCAAAATGCCTTCCATAGAACTTGTGACAAGTGGGAAAACATCTTCACTAGTTACTGCAGATTTCTGATTAAAAAAAGGACTCCGACGTATTTGTCTAATTACCACATGTGTGCTAAACAAATGTAATTTTGCTGGGGTTCCTTGAAGTGTGCCTTCCTGGGATTTGGGATAACCTTCACTTGAGATGAAGGGACAAGGGTGTGAGATATCTTCAGCAGGATGAAATCCCTTTTCCCTGCGCTAAGTGCTGTCAGTGCTAGGTGAACTTCATCAGAATGTCTTGAAGGTATGAGAAAATAAAGGCAGTGATATTTTTGCTGTTGATTTGGATGGAACAGGTTTGTCTCAGAGAGCCAATGTCAATTTAGAGCAATTAACTTGCTGCTTGGTACGTTCATGCAGAACATCTCTGTGGCTGCCATAGTCCCCCTCCTTTGTTATTCAGGGTGAATTAAATGACCTAATGATATTCAAAGCTAATTATAAATCATTGTTGGGAAATAATTAATGGCGTTCACCAGATGCTCTCATAACTATTGTGCAGTATTTTTTTGCATTTAACCAGTTATAGCAAGCAGAAATTTTAAGAAATATTGCAAAAATACTGGGCATTTTAATTACCTTTTTATCCTATGCACATTTTCCTATCCCACATTTTCTTCTGGAGCTAAATTATGCAAACACTTGTTTCAGGATGTGTACAGCTGGTAGGTTAGAGAGAGTTAGATTCCTCTATATTTTTCCAGATATGTTGGTCTTTCATAGCTTTTTTCTATGTAAGTAAAATTGAGATTCTTTTATTTCCATGCTCATAGCACTAGATTCCAATTATCTTGATTCTTGGCAAGCATTAATTGAGCTTCCTTAAGAAGGAATAAATATAATGTTTGTAAGTTTGTATTGAATTTTTTTTCTTTCACCTCAACATGATTGTGAAAATGTATAACCCTGAGGCATTTTCTGTTACAATAACTGAAGGCTTCTTCCTGTTGGCATTTTGGAAGGGAGATGCAGCTGATTTTATTGCGGTAATGTCTGAGCTGAACAACAAATCCAGTGCTGCTGTTTCAGTGTCATGTGCTGGTGTGATCAAGGCTTCTGAAGACACAAGAGATCAGACTCATCAAGAAGTTTAGCCCTCAATATGTCAGAACCTATAATGTGTGAAATGATTTTGTTACTGGGTGGGGAAAAGAAGAAAAAGCTCAGAACAGGAAAGTAGAGAAGTCAAAAAGGAATCGTTCTGTGTTAGAAAATATTCCATTTCTAGTAAGGTGTAATCATAGTTGAAAATTAACATTTGTCTAAAAGGAGTATAGTACCTTATTTTTATATATTTCTTGTCACAGTTAAAGTATTTTGCAAACATTTCCTGTGTCACTTTGTGGTTCAAGAAAGAACCATAAATATTTCTCCTTGGGCTGAGCTTCAGAGGGGAGCTTTGCTGCAGTTCTGAAATTGTTTCAGGGAGGGGGCTGAGCAGAGAGAGCCCCCCGCAGCAGAGGCCACTGCAGCGTCAAGAGGCTGATGGATTCTCTTTGCCCAGTGCCATCTTTCTTGTAAAGCTCTGTTTGGTGCAGACAGGCATTTGGGGAGTGCTGCTTTCATTGTGCCACAGGCTGGGCAGAACTAGAAACTTCCTCTGAGCCAGTGTCTCTGCAACAGACCCGAGGCAAGGCTATGGCTCCCTGCTCCTCTGGCATTAATTACTAATAACAGGAAATCATTTATAGGTCTGGCTTTGTATTGATGCAGTTACATTGTTATAACTTCTGGTGTTTCATGGTTTTTATTGATAGGTATACGTGGGGAGATCAACGTGGTGGTGAAAGTAGATCTCTTCAATGATTTAAACAGATTTAGGCAGTCATCCTGTGGCGTCAAATTTTTTTGCAGTAAGTAGAGGAAAAGGGTTTATTTGAACAAAAACTTTGTCCCTCCTTTTTTCTTTGCCTCTTCTGTCTCCCTTCTTTCTCATGGCAGAGAAGGGAGCTCAATTGCATAAATCTAGTGGTGATAACATAGAAAAGAAAAGCAATTTGTGTTAAACGCGTTTTTACTGTTCACATTTCAAAACAATGTAAATAACCGATGGGATTTTTTTATGTCTGGAAGTTGCATTTCAGTGCCCGTGGTGTTATTTTGGGTCCATGTCCTTTTAAAGAGGCCCCAAGTGGAAAGGTTCCATAAAGGCACATGCTGTAACTGGTGCACTGGACAGTTACCTTACCGGGGTGTGTCGACGCTTCCACAGCAAATGGTGTGGATGAAATCCCTGTGATGCGTAACGTGATGTTTTTGTTGCTGTGCCTGGCTCGGAGGCCGTCTCACCCCCTTGCTGTGTGTCTGTCCAGCCACGTCCATCCCCAAGTGCTACCGGGCCGTGGTGATCCACGGCTTTGTGGAGGAGCTGGTGGTGAACGAGGACCCCGAGTACCAGTGGATCGACCGCATCCGCACGCCGCGCGCCTCCAACGAGGCCCGCCAGCGGCTCATCTCGCTCATGTCAGGTATGGCGCTGCCCTCGGGGGGCAGGGAGCGCGCTCTCCTCTGCAGCTGTTACCTGGGCAACCCAGCTGCACAGGACTGCTGGCTTTTTAGTTATGTCCTCCTAAAAAGCATCAGCGACAAACCGGCTTCTTACGGTCACGGCCTTTCATCCTTGTGTGCGGCTAATAGGAGTGGCAGTGTTGGGTTTGCAGTAGAGGGGCAAAAAGCAGGAAAAAAGTTGAAATATACTTAAAGGAATTGGTAAATGAAGAAATTATAGATGCTTGCTCATAGAGATTTTAAAGATGTTGCATTGTTTTGAAGTATTATATATTATTATATACTATATATTATTATATATAGCATATATTATTATATTATGTATTATTATTGTATTGAAGTATTAAATATGAAGTATTTAGAAACTTACGTGCATTCCACAGCACATCTTGACTTCTCTCTGAATAAGTAGAAAAAAGGAAAAAAAAAAGCCTACTGGAAATAAAGACTAGTGGGAAAAACCTCTGAAATGACATGTTGCTTTGGCAGTCAGAGTGGATTTGGAGAGAAGAGCAAAAAGCTGTGTAAGTGATTGGTATCACACAGTGTTGTAGGAGACAGAGGTTGTGGCTGGCTCCTTGGCCAGCCATGTAGGATTGGATTTATTATCTATTCCACTGACTTGGCTGGCACTCCAAAAGCTGGGTCAAAGACCACAAAAGAGAAGAGAAGTTCACTGCAACCCTGAGCTCTTTACCTTTTGTTTTGTAGGTGAATTGCAGAGGAAGATCGGCTTGAAGGTGCTTGAAATGAGAGGAAATGCTGTTGTTGGATATTTGCAGTGTTTTGATTTGGAGGGGGAGTCTGGACTCGTAGTGAGAGCCATAGGAACAGCCTGCACGTTGGATAAATTAAGTAACACATCAGCATTTTTACCTGCATGTAACTCCCCATCCAAAGAAATGAAGGAGTAAGTATGAATTAGTAGCTTGTAGGGAAACAAGTTTCACCTCTCTTCCTTTCATACTCATTCAGTTTTTCATAACCAGTGTGATTTCTTTTTTCCCGAGATTTTGTTTTTTCTTTTGTAGTTTTATTTGTCTGCAATAAGTTTTCTATTCCACAATTCTGAAATGTTTTAGGTTGGATGAGTTATTTCAGTAGAGGCTGGAGTGGTAGTTCCTACTTAGGATGACTTTTTGTACTTATGTAGCAATAGTACTACATATCCTTGTGATCCACCAGTTTAACTCTAATTAGTTCTGCTTTGATGCTGTGTTTGTGCAATGAACATTTCAGTGAGGACCTCTCACAAACTTTTGGTTCAAGCTTAAATGTTTATAACTGTATTTATAAGTGTATAAGAGAAGATAAATATTGAATTCTGATCGTTCTGTCAGTGCTTTAGACAGTGACCCCAAAGAGGTCTCATCTTTTGTGTGCTTTCCTTTTTACTGTTGTAAAACAAGAACTATGGCAAAACAGATAGACAGTGAACTTGCAGAGAGATCTTTTTACTATGAGAATTAGAATTTTGTGATTTTTGTCATATGTACTGCAGCACCAAACATTTTGAATGTTTTGATATGCATACAAATTAATAGAAATATACTTGCAGTCTTCTTTCAACTGTTGCTACATTTTTGCATGGATAAATTAGTTATTTTCTGTTTGGTAGAGCAATGCAGGAAGGAAAAAACTGCACCAAGAAGTATTACATATCCTGTATTTCTAGATGTATTAATTGAAGTAGCCATTTTCATGAATTTGAACTGTTCTGTCACTGCAAGAGAGGTGAGGCGTTTTTGCTGTGCAGGCATCAATTGCTCTGCAAAATTTTGCAAAATATGAGCTGACTTTTAAAAATTACTGGTTTCTATTTCACAGCATAGCTTGTTTGACTTGTCTTGATTTTAAAAAATTGCCTTTAAAAGAACTTCAGGATACAGTGCAGCATAGAGCAACAGCATGGTGTTTAAAAACATAAAAGGTAGACCTAGTAATTATCAACTTAAAAAGCACCCATAAATAAACCAGTTTCTTTCACTCTGCAGCAAAATGTGGAAATTCCACCTCCCAAATTATCCATGTTCAGCTTGGTGATGGATATTGTCTCAGTTCAAAACACAGGAATGTTTCTCTAAGGCAGCAAAATCAACTAATTTGACTCTTCTTATTCTTGGCTTTACTAACTCGATGGCCTGTTGCCAGAAATCAATAATGCAGTCACAAGCAAGTGCTTGAGCTGTTCCTTTCCTTCCTTGTGTTTCATCTGGACTCCTGCATGCTAGGAATTGCAATTCTTAGAGTCTGCTTAGAGTAAGAGATCTCCTGTGTCTAAACTTCCCTGAAAGCATTGGTAACGTAACTCTGCAACCTGTTTGTGTGTATTGTTTTCTTTTCTCCCGCCCTGGCCGCAAACTCTCTCAGGTCTCCGCTGGTTCACGCGCCCAGCCACGGATGCCGCTCGACCCACAACAGCCCAATTCACACTGCTACTGGCTCACGGCTCACTCAGAACTTCTCTGTGTCTGTTCCCACTCTCATCTACACCGGTACGAGTCTGCTGACACTCGCAGCCGGGCGGCACAGTGCCCCAGGGCAGGCAGGCAGGGCAGGCAGGCACCGCCCTCTGCTCGGTTCCTCGGGACCGCTGCGGCTCATGGGAGTGCAGGAGAGGCTCTGGGACGGGCCTCGCAGTCTCTTCCACAAGGCCACGCTCTTCACTTGCACACGCTCTTGCTTCTGGGAAGTTAACTAAAACAGTAAGGTGATGTGACTGGGAAACGGTGATTTGAGCTCCTAATTGCTTTCAGACATCATTCGCATACAGTAGGCTTTGAAATGGTTCTAGGAAGGGTCTGTGCCATTTGTGGAAGAGATGGTTGTAGGGAGCAGGTAAGTCAAGCTGTGCATAAACAAACTGTTTGTCAATAGAGTTGTTCCCGAAAAGATTCTCCTCTTTGCTCTGTTTTTAGCTGTGGCATGCTGCTGATGCTATAGGATAAGGAAACATAGCTCTTTTTCTTTTACCTTACAATGCATATGTGTATATACATAAGTGTATAAATATGTATAAACACAGCTATAATTTGAAATCATTTTTCTTTATTGAACTAACTCAAAGCATTGTGTATTCGACCAGATTTTTAAGCCATAAACTTTTCAATTTTTTTATTTTGCATATATATATTTTTTTGTCACATCTCATGCCTTTCATTTGGCTTAATTGTTTCATTGTAGATGACGAGCATCTGTGTGTAGGATGCTGAGAGGGTAAAACAGCATTTCTTTGCCTCTGGCCTCATTCCCAGCCTCGCTCCTAAGGAATAGCTGCTGGCCCTGCCCCAGTCCCATCCTGGTGTTTGGATCATGCTGCTGTCAGCCAGGTCCTTTGGCACAGGATTACTGAATATGTTTCCACCTTCTTCTGGCAGGATTCCTTTCAATGAAGATCCCAATCCCAATACATATTCATCAGGACCCTCCACCCCTCTGAAAAACCAAACCTATTCCTTTTCACCTTCCAAGTCCTACAGTCGACAGTCCTCTTCTTCTGACACAGATTTGAGTTTGACACCCAAAACTGGTAAGGCACTTCCACCCACTTTTTGTTTAAGTTGTTTCTCTTTTTATATTTTCATTCAACCCCTTTTGCTTTTTGGCATTTAAGTTATCAAAATGATGTGAAAATTGGAGACCCCACGCAGTACACCTCAAGCTCTAAAGGTTTCTGCTGGGTCAAAATTTCAGTCCTGCCTGTATTTCCACTGTCCCGGATAACATGAAAATGGCTTTTGTAACACAACTGTGTTGCGTTGAAGTTGAAATAAAACATCTCAGAGCATTAAGGGAGTCCTAAGTAATTGCCTTTTCCTTATTTCCTCCATTTCCTATCACAGACCATAGGAGTGTATTTCTCACCACCATATGTTAAGGATGGTGTTACTAAAACCATGTAGCCTTCAAGCCTACTGTGTTGGGCCCTAAGCTAACTGCATGCATTTGGCTAATTTTGAACTCCCTTTTTTTTTCTTCTCTTGGTAGATGGAAATAGCTTTACATACACAGTATACACTTCCAAGGTAGCTTAAATTACATTAGAAGTAATCCAGCCATCTTCAAAAAGCATTTTTCTTTTCCCATTGCTTTATCATAATTTTTTTCAACTTGTTTTTTTCTCCCTCCTTAATTTTTAGTCTGTGGTTAAAATCATGTCAGTAATAATGTCAGCAAAACTCAAAGAATTATTGTATGTTTATTTTTCATTCTATGACCAATGCCATGTATTTTGCTACCCTGGGGCAAAGTATTTTGTAAAATTATATGTAGAAGTATGGTTAGTTTTTAAATGATGTTTTAAATTGTGGTGTTTGAAGCCCAGAACATCCTTGACTCATATAATGAGTCAAATTTTAAGCATATTAAGGTAGTTGATAGCACTCCTTTCAAGAATTTTTCCTACCAGGTGAATTGAATACTACATTCAAATGGAGTTGTATTAAATATTTCATGTAGTTTATTCCCTATATGTGTTAAAAATATTCCCAATTGGCAAGCTGTCTTTCTTAGTGCTGTCTTCTCTGTCCCATTTTTAAAACAAACAAGCAAAAAAAAGCACACTTTAGTTTTTGTTCTTTTTAAAGGGTGTCTGTCCTCAGGTTAACCTATGGTGGTCACTCAATTAAAGGACCTACAGGTATAACTGGATGCTTATTTCTTGGGACCACCCCAAATTCAGGTGCTTGGCTTACTGAATGTTTGAAAACCTGTTTCTTTTGGTCAGATTTCTGTGGTAAAGATGATGTCATGTACAGGATTTAAATGTGACATAGGTGGTCATCTTTCTAGATGTAAGAGTTGTGAGTTCAGGCATGTGCAGCTCTCTGTGGATGCGTGAAGGTTTGAAAGCAGCAGCCTCATGTATTTCCTGGCAATGTTAGGTAGGTCATAAATCCCGTTGGTTTTAGTCAGCTCCTTCAGAACTGAAACAGATTGTCATTGGTGCCTCTTGTTTGGAGGGATTTTTCAAGTATGTAAAGATATTTTTAGCTATCTTTCTAGTATTGAAGCAAACAGTGGGCATAGTTTTGCTTATTAGCACTGCCTTTTTGGCAACTTTTAACTGTGCTGCTGAAACTTGTCCAGAGAGGATTTTCTAGTTACATTTACATATGCTGTGTCTTGCTATGACAAACTCAATTTTGAATCCTAACAGATTAAAGGACAGCACCTCATGAGTAATCTGTTTTACCCAAAATTCGGTGGTATGCAGAAGACACTTCCATAACATACTAAATTCAGTATGCTGTTCTTAACAATTACTGTATGTGTTTAGACCTCTGTTTTCATTTCCTGAGGCTGTTACCAAGTTCAGGTATCTCAGTGTATAAGCTGGTGATCTCAGTAGTTAAATAAGGCTAAAGAAATGCAGACTTCTCATGTGACACATCTGATGTTCCCAGGTTCGAGATACTCATTACTCAGGTTGGCTGACGTGCAAAAAGAAGCATTTTCTGCTATTCCTGCAGTATATTGTATTCTCCTTTATTTCTCAGTCAGGTAGTTAGTGTGCTGACATGTCTGAGATGGACATTAACGTGGAGGAACAGTGCAGGTACCACCTTTTCCAGTAGGAGTAACAAAACACTGGAGGCTGCAGCTTGGATCTGCTGAAGCTCCAAATATGGATCTGCAATAGCTCCAAATCTGGAGAGTATTACCTTGATGTCTTCTGTGAAATGCACTTGTGCTTGTGTTATCCATTCTGGTCTATAAATGCATTTGCTGAATTTGGGGTTGAAGTTAGAATTCTGGGAGCAGGGATGTATTTTATGCCACTGCCAATGAACAGAATCAGGCTGACAAAAAGCATGGCATATTTTAATCAGATAATACATTCTGATGTGCCATAGCATATGTTTGGAGGAAATGGGTAAGGTGGGAACTCCTTTACTGATGGGAACGTAGAATTCTACAAGATTTATTACTCTAGAAAATCATAGAACAAATCCATGGCCCCTTTGGAAAATAACCTTTTCTACTGAGATAATGCAAGTAATCAGATTAAGTGTGTGCAGAGACTCTGTTGTTTGGTTTTTACTCCATACTATTTGCTATCAAATTTTGATTGGCATTTACAATGTTTAATTGCCATGTCTCTAAAAATTAATTTCAACATAAAGTTAATCAAGTAATGATTTTTAAAGACACGCTTCTCATGTACGTTGTGGAGCTGTATTGTCATTCCATTTCTTTGTATGTCGAGAAATAATTTGCACTAAGTGTTGATTCATTTAGAGAAAACAAAAATGCTTCATTTTGATTTCTTTTGTCCGTTTCTTTAGTCATCTTCTGAATCTGCATCTTTGTCTCTATTACTTTCCTCCACAGCACCCTCCCCACAGGGACCTAGGATTTTCCTGTTTCCCAGCTCCCCTACACTCTCTTGTGGTTCCCCACATGTAAAAAAGTCCTGTCTGCTCCTCTCGGGGTCTAGCGTTAAACCTCTGCACTGTAGCCATGTCAGCCCAGTTGTTCTGAGGAAAAGTGTTTCTTTCACTGAGGAGCTGCTGCTGGCTGCTTCTGGTAGGATCTGTCTGTTCTGGCCTTTTGAACAAACTCTGAAGGAAATGTTGTTGTTTGATTAACGCACAGCTGCTTCTATAACCCTGGGCTTGCTCAGTGAGCCTCTGAAAACTGCTGGCTACATGACTGTGCATTCCATCTCTCACCTCTGCCCCAGAAGCTTGAAACACCCTCAGAACTTCTCAGAGGATTTGAAACAATGTCATTTATGCTACAGAATTACTACTTTACCCTTGACAAATACCCTTTGCTAATTGGACTGAAATAATTTGCTTTATTTGTAATCCCACACATTGTCCTCACTTTGTTGCTCCTGCATTTTGCATGGAGCAGCTGCCCATTGCACTTGCTCGTGAGTTCATTCATAATTTGCTGAAATAATGGTTGTGAGATGCTACCAACTCTGCTTTTTAATTTAACCTTTTAAACAAAGCCCATGCTTTTTATTTTTACTGCCCACTTTTTCATTTCACTGACATGGATTATTTTTATAGATTTCAATTAAATAATTGTTGGTATTCGCTTTTTTTGTAGAAACTCTTTTGGTTAGTTTGTATTTTTTGAGTTTGTTTTGTGTGTAGTATTTATGCTATGTTTGTCTGGATTTAGTCTTGTATAGTCCCTGACAGTGATGTTTAGAATCAATGTTAAATAGTAAAAGCAATTTAATCTTGTTTAATGGGACTATACAGATACTAATAGTTTTGTTTCCTTATCCGAGAACAGCTAAAAATACTCACTGAAAATTGTAGTGGTTTTATATCAAATTACACGGTAGTGGTAGCTTAGAAACTCTTGAAAATGAATGAATGAAGTTAAGAATGAATTTACATACGTTATTAAGTCTGGTATTATTTCTAGATCTCCCAGTCTTTGGTAAAACAAATAACTGCACTTGGATCTATATTTACACTCTTGTTCATCCTTACCAGATTCTTGATCAGAAGGAAAAGCAAGCTAGCAGGGAATTATTATTATGTTGAATCAGTTAGAAATTCTGGAGAAGAAAGTCTTGGCTTCATTTCTAACTGTTTGCGCTGTGCTGTTTGTATTTCATCCTGCTCCTGACACCTTTCTGTTCTTTATGCTCTGCTTTCCTCTGCTGCTTGGGGGCTTCTTTTAGCTCTGATGGCTTTAGACACAAGGAATAGCAAGGAGAATGTGTTTCAGGCATGACATGTTACCAAGAGTCACTAGCACTGTGTTTGCTGTAGGGAAAGCACACCTTGGCATGTGTTTGCAGTGCTGTGTGAGCACAGAGCCCCCAGGCCACTGTCAGGCACATAACCTGCAGCTCAGCACACCCTGTGAGGGGGCCTGTCCCTGCAAGTAATGCCACAACAAAGGTGTTTGTGCACTGAGCAGCTTCCTGTGCACAAACCCCTGTGCACAGGTAATGGAACAGCAAAGGTGTCAGTGCACAGCATCAGCTTCCTCTGCACAAACCCCTGTGCACAGCTGATGGAACAGCAAAGGTGTCAGTGCACAGCATCAGCTTCCTCTGCACAAACCCCTGTGCACAGGTGATGGAACAGCAAAGGTGTCAGTGCACAGCATCAGCTTCCTCTGCACAAACCCCTGTGCACAGGTGATGGAACAGCAAAGGTGTCAGTGCACAGCATCAGCTTCCTCTGCACAAACCCCTGTGCACAGGTGATGGAACAGCAAAGGTGTCAGTGCACAGCATCAGCTTCCTCTGCACAAACCCCTGTGCACAGGTAATGGAGCAGCAAAGGTGTCAGTGCACAGCATCAGGTTCCTCTGCACAAACCCCTGTGCATAGGTAATGCCCCAGCAAGGATGTTACTGCACTGAGCAGCTTCCTGTGCACAAACCCCCTGTGCTAGGGAGAGGGCTGGAGGTTAAACTCTGAAAGAAGGAAAGAGAGAATTACCATGTTATGCCAAATTGGAGTTTATCTTGTGTTCGTAATCTGCAGGTTATGTGTGTGCCAATGTAGCCATCAAATAAGTGTAGCTTTAAATGCTGAGCAGTAGTGTCCCCTAGCTTATTTGAGTGAATCAGATGAGTATTTCATAGTGTAAAATAATTTCTAATTGTTTTCAGAGTTTATATTCAAATCAAGGGATATGCATTGCCTTTGTGCTTTCTTCTTGCTCCTAAACATGCCTTATGTAACTGCTGCTGTAATTAAGTGTACAGTCTCCTACTTGTAGTTAGGAAAGGTGGTTTAGTTACCTGAAACTCTGCTAATCAGATTTTTATTACTTTCATTAAATAAAAATATTGTAATAATATTAGTGAGAGATATACAACTATAGAGTAGTCTGACAGAGGGACTCTTTTTGATAAGGGCAGATAATCTGGTTATATAAAAACGTAATGTGGAAATTAGATCTCTATTTAAATCATAGGCAAAAAGTCATACAAAAAATTCTGTGTTGTAGAAGAGAATTTTAAACCCACATCTTTAAGTTTTTATATTTTAAAATTGATTTTAATTCAGGTTTACAGCAGGAAAAAATCTTAGATGGGGGGGTTTGTTCAACTACTATACAGTCACTGCTAGTTGTGTGAGAAGGAAAACCTACTACAACCCTCAAATCAAAATTAAATTTTTGATGCTTTTTTTTTTCTTAGAAATTAAAATTATGGGGAAAATTTGACTGTTTTCAATGATTCATTTTTATCTATTTTGAACTCACTCTTTGATTACAAATTATAATCTATGTTTCTTTGAATGTCATTTGTACTGATATTCTTCAGGAATGGGCAGTGGGAGTGCTGGAAAAGAAGGGGGGCCATTTAAAACTCTTTTAAGACAACAGACTCAATCAGCTCTGGAACAAAGGGTAAGGCATTGTATACTTCATTTCTGGTTTACTGAAGTGAAATTTATCTTGTAAGTTAATGTTTGCTGTTACTTGCTGTTTGAACACATGTAAGTTTTGGTCTGAACTTAGTACAAGTGTTGACTGTTTAATAGCCCTTTTATACACAACTTATTTAAATATTAATTTATTACTAAAGCAGTGGGAGAAGTGGAGCAATTAACTATGCACAGCACTCAAGTAATTCCAGTGGTATTAAGAAGTTATGGGAGAAATTACTGATGCGTGTTAAGTTTAACACTTGAGAAAAGACATGATGATAAAGTGTTTACAAAAGCCAAATTCAGAAACATTGGCATAGCTTTAAACAAGTTGAAAATCCCGTTTAGGTTTAGGAAAAGTTTCAGGTTTTGGGAATGGAGTTGATGCTTTGTGGCCCATTCCATGGAGTAGAAGGTAGCCTTTAATTGGGAACTTGAACCTGAGCTACTTGACCAGCAGTAAAAAGGCATTCATAGATTTAAACTTTTCCTCTATTGGACTAAAAATGCCATCTGTCATTATACTGAATACAATATATGACGAAAATTGTGGTTTTAATTGTTTACATTTGCAATGAGTAATTGCAACTTTTTTTTATAAACTATACAGTGTTTTGATCAAAATGTTGATAATGAGGTGTCTTGGAGGAAGAAATGGGAGTATATTCTTACTCAGGAATAAATGTTTTGCACCTAAGTATGGTGGTGTTCACAGGGGTCTTAGGAGGAGGGAAGAGATGAGAATATTGACTCAATGTTTCAGAAGGCTTGCTTTATTATTTTATGGTATATATCATATTAAAGCTATACTAAAAGAATAGAAGAAAGGATTTCATCAGAAAGCTGGCTAAGAATAGAAAAAGAATGATAACAAAGGCTTGTGTCTGACTGAGACAGTCAGGACAGCTGGGCTGTGATTGGCCACTAATTAGAAACAACTCCATGAGACCAATCCCAGATGCACCTGTTGCATTCCACAGCAGCAGATAAATGTGCTGTGGGGTGTGAGTGGGCACACAGACAGACAGGAGCCCTTGTGCAGTGAGGGTGACAGCCCTGCAGCTGTGGGGTGTCAGTGGGCACACTGCACACACACACAGACAGGAGCCCTTGTGCAGTGGGGGTGACAGCCCTGCAGCTGTGGGGTGTCAGTGGGCACACTGCACACACACACACAGACAGCAGCCCTTGTGCAGTGGGGGTGACAGCCCTGCAGCTGTGGGGTGTGAGTGGGCACTGTGCACACACACACAGACAGCAGCCCTTGTGCAGTGGGGGTGACAGCCCTGCAGCTGTGGGGTGTCAGTGGGCACTGTGCACACACACACACAGACAGCAGCCCTTGTGCAGTGGGGGTGACAGCCCTGCAGCTGTGGGGTGTCAGTGGGCACACTGCACACACACACACAGACAGCAGCCCTTGTGCAGTGGGGGTGACAGCCCTGCAGCTGTGGGGTGTCAGTGGGCACACTGCACACACACACACAGACAGCAGCCCTTGTGCAGTGGGGGTGACAGCCCTGCAGCTGTGGGGTGTCAGTGGGCACACACACACAGACAGCAGCCCTTGTGCAGCGGCGGTGACTCTGCTCTCCTCTCTCGTGCCCCATGCCCCAGGGAGGATCGCCCCGCAGGTTCTGTGCCAGGCCGGTACGTTGGAGCACACGGGACCCCTCAGCTATTCCCTGTTGCTGGGGGTTCTTAAAGCACCAGCTCACATACGGGGCTTGGGAGCCTTTGCAGATTCCTTGGGGATTTTGTTCATGCAGAATTGTTTTAATTTGTTGGTTTTAAGAGCATTTTTTAGATAGGTGTATTTTGCATGTTTATACATTTCAATTAATGTTTTAGTTTAGGTATGAATATAAATCCATGCACATAGACAGTGCACTCTACTTGTCTGGATTACTTAGGATAGCAAGTATTTGGGAGAACCAAGAATAAATTCAGTGTATATAATGCAGTTTCACAGGTATTAGATATATCATAACATCCCAGAATACTTTAAGGGACCTTAATGGTCATCTTATTCCAACCACCCTGCCTTGGGCAGGGACACATTCCATCGGACCAGGTTGCTCAAATAGTTCTTTTGAGTCCTAGATTATTGGGATATATGGGAATGCTAAAGTACCTGAAAATAAGCTCTTTTAGTTGCATGTCTCAAGAGTTTTTTTTAACCAAATGTGTTTTTGATTTATTACTTAAATTACCCTAACTGCAAACTGAACAGTTAGTTAGAAGGATCATATTCCTCACTTCCTTCCCTGAAAATAAACCCGTAGAAAATACAGCAGTGGAAAACTCAGGTACATGTTATATTGTACATTAATAACTGTTAAAAATTCCCTGGACATCTGTAGATAGCAAGAGTAACTGTAGCACAGCTGTCTCTCTGTATATTTTTAACTAAGAAGAAATCCATGCTGCATTTCCATCAGTAGGAAAATTTGGTGTTATCTTACTCCTCAAACGTTAGCCTATGTTTTTGTGGAAATGACCAAAAGCTGCTGTCAGTGGTATTTTTTGTCTCACTTCCACAGATTCTGGACAAATGCTGGTTTCTTCCTGTTTTTACCTTCAGCAAGCGCTTGAGTGATCTCCTCTGCTGCCTTTTCTAAGGGAGGATCTGGTGTCCTCCATCTCTGAAGGGCGCTGCAGGAAATCTGTTCTCTGGGAGATTTGTTTGGCTGAAATCCTGACCTGAGCCTCTTTCCTTTCAGTGACTTCTTTTCCAGCCATCCCCTCAGTGCAGGTCGAGGAAAGCTGTCAGGTTGTTTGGCCACCTTGGGGGGTGGCACAGTAATTCTGAGCTCTTACAGGTGACAACATGTGATTGAGGCTGGAACTTGTATTTAAGTAATATAGTAATAACATTTAAAAAACCTCTACATTTAAAAAGAAAAAAGTCTTCATATGAAGTGATGGAGTTGAATGTGTGTCATTGGGCACACTGCACACACACAGAGAATGAATGAGAGATTAGCAGAATTCTGTCAGAATGGTTCAGTGAGTCTGTTACCCAGATTTGTCTGTGACTCAAGTTAACTGCATGATTTTTCTTTTTTGGTTTTTTTTTTTTGCTTTCTGCATTTAGAATTGCTGAACATGAGTTACTGCCTTTCCCCCATAAGTGTTCAATTATGTAGATATTAGACATATCACAGAACATCTCTGGAGCAATTAAAATCTGGGTTTGGGCTCAGTTTTTTTCATCAAATGTGTCTTGAAAAATTGTAATTATTACTTACTTACTTTGCCCCTCTTATGAATTAAAAGCTGGAGTAGTTACTGAAAGTTAACTCTTTATTTTACTTATGAACTGGAAATGAATTATTTTAGTTTAAGAATTTACAGTTGTGTTTCAAGACCTGTGCTTTATTTTAAAAGATGTATATTGACTTGTTATATTTAGAGCTTACTCGCAGAGCAGTCCTTTGATATTTTTTAGGTATGTTTTCCTGTAATAAGACAGTCCTCGTTCTTGCAAGACTACAGTTTGTTTCACCCTGTGCTTCAGAATCAAACTGCAGTCAGTTGCAATGAGAACACCTAAAAATGGAGAAAAATTTTATTTTTTTATCAGCTAATGAAAGAAGAATTCTGGTGTTTAGCAGCCATGGTAAAAGTGGATCAATAGAGATTTTATTAATCTCTTAATATGTAAAGTTTTGATTGTTTGTCACTGTTGTGCTGAGAAACAACTCTGTGGGGGAAAAGTATCGTTTGAGAGTGTACCCTGTGCTTTTGTGCCGTGGGTCCGTGGGCACGCGTGGCTGCGGGCGCCCCTGCGCAGGGCAGGGCTGTGCTGGCGCCAGGGCAGCGGTGCAGGAGCCCTGTGCCCGCGTGTGCTGCGCGGAGCCCTCGGCAGAGCCCTGTGCCCGCGTGTGCCACGCGGAGCCCTCGGCAGAGCCCTGTGCCCGCGTGTGCCGCGCGGAGCCCTCGGCAGAGCCCTGTGCCCGCGTGTGCCGCGCGGAGCCCTCGGCAGAGCCCTGTGCCCGCGTGTGCTGCGCGGAGCCCTCGGCAGAGCCCTGTGCCCGCGTGTGCCACGCGGAGCCCTCGGCAGAGCCCTGTGCCCATCTGTGCCACGCGGAGCCCTCGGCAGAGCCCTGTGCCTGCGTGTGCCGCGCGGAGCCCTCGGCAGAGCCCTGTGCCCGCGTGTGCCGCGCGGAGCCCTCGGCAGAGCCCTGTGCCCGCGTGTGCCACGCGGAGCCCTCGGCAGAGCCCTGTGCCCATCTGTGCCACGCGGAGCCCTCGGCAGAGCCCTGTGCCCGCGTGTGCCGCGCGGAGCCCTCGGCAGAGCCCTGTGCCCGCGTGTGCCACGCGGAGCCCTCGGCAGAGCCCTGTGCCCATCTGTGCCACGCGGAGCCCTCGGCAGAGCCCTGTGCCTGCGTGTGCCACGCGGAGCCCTCGGCAGAGCCCTGTGCCCGCGTGTGCCACGCGGAGCCCTCGGCAGAGCCCTGTGCCTGCGTGTGCCGCGCGGAGCCCTCGGCAGAGCCCTGTGCCCGCGTGTGCCGCGCGGAGCCCTCGGCAGAGCCCTGTGCCCATCTGTGCCACGCGGAGCCCTCGGCAGAGCCCTGTGCCCGCGTGTGCCACGCGGAGCCCTCGGCAGAGCCCTGTGCCCCTGTGTGCCACGCGGAGCCCTCGGCAGAGCCCTGTGCCCCTGTGTGCCACACGGAGCCCTCGGCAGAGCCCTGTGCCCATCTGTGCCGCGCGGAGCCCTCGGCAGAGCCCTGTGCCCGCGTGTGCCACGCGGAGCCCTCGGCAGAGCCCTGTGCCCCTGTGTGCCACGCGGAGCCCTCGGCAGAGCCCTGTGCCTGCGTGTGCCGCGCGGAGCCCTCGGCAGAGCCCTGTGCCCGCGTGTGCCGCGCGGAGCCCTCGGCAGGCCCTAACGCTGCTTTCTGACACCCGCAGGAGTTCCCCTTCTTCACCCTGACCTCCTTCCCGCCCGGCTTCCTGCTGCACGTCGGGGGCATCGTCAGCGCGCGCTCCGTCAAGCTGCTGGACCGCATCCACAACCCCGGTACGTGGGCACGGGAACAGGGGAATACAGGGGAGCGCACGGGCACAGCCTGCCTGGCACGGGAACCTGCCACGGGCACGGCCTGCCTGGCACGGGCACAGCCTGCCTGGCACGGGCACAGCCTGCCTCCCTGCCCTGGGGGCACCTGCAGGAGGGACAGAGCTGTTCCAGGAGTGCATTGCAGAGAGCCATTGAGGCTTGGAAAATGAGTTACTCGAAGGTTGTGGTTTTAGTGAGAAACCTTTCAGCAAATTAAACTAGAAATAAAAATACTTTGAATCAGTAACAGTAACTCTGCACTGAAAACTAGCTTTTAATTATTGAGGGGTTAATTAATTTTTTGCCGCTTTTTGTGATTAAAACTTGATGCGAGTTTTTCAATTCAAACAAAAATGAGATTAAATGCTTGATCTTAACTATGAATGTTTTCCCATTTTCAGCTCCTTGAAATCTTTAAGGACTAATGGCTACAGCTCACAATGTGGTTTTTAACCTTTACAGTTTTGTTTCTGTTCTTAAAAGCCTTAACTGAACAGTACTTGAAGATTTTTATTTATTCCTTCCTGGGATCCCCAGCACGAGAACATTTGTGGTTTGCATGTTAGCTCTAATGGTAGAGCTGAGTGACTTTTGACTCTGAAGACTTGGGTGGTTTAGTCACCGAGATGAGGAATGCTTAGCAAAAAGTTGGAGTTGACAATGCACTTGAGAACGCAGAGGAGAGAAAAATAGCACCTGTAGTGGTTTTGCATGCACTAGTCAGGAGTAATAAAAGGAAGTTTATGCAAATACATCCTTAAACACAAGTACAAAAAACCTAACCTTTTCCTTTTCTTCCTATGGCCCAAGGCAAGCAATTCTTCAGGCAGGAAGATCAGATTGTTGCTGATCTGAAGATTCAGTAAACTGGCAACATGTAATTAAATCCAAGACTTCACTTGAATTAGATCCTCCTTATTTGAGTGATTTTTTTTCGAGTATATTAGTGCACAATGTTGCTCTTTTGTTTTCCTATTCTAAGATCTATTTACACAATGAAGAAAAGATTAAAAAAAAGAAACGAGTCTTTTAAATAACAATTAATACATGAGTCTTTCTTTGCCACAAAGTTATTTTATGATTCTGTGCTTTCAATAGATTTCTGATACAGGTCTCTTATGTGCAAAATTTACTGTGGGATAGATGTAAGATAGAATATTAAAAAAAATCAATTTTGCTCAGAAGTTTTAAAAACTAATTTCTTATATTATGCACTCCTTCCTTTTTGCCAGCTGACTGGAGGCAGTATAAGCCATAAGGCAAGAAGAGATGTGTGTTTGCAGAGCTGCAGTGTTTCTGTGAGACTTGCACATTGCTCCTGACCAGTGAATGCAAAATGCGTGATCCTCGGGACTCACACTGCAAAACAGCAGGAACAGAAGGGGAATGAAGGCACGTGGCTGTGGGAGGGAAGCTGGAGAAGGAGGAAACAATGCTGATATTATAGTTAAGGTTGTGAAGCATTTGAGTCAAATAAGTCTGTAAAATATTAAAGGAAGCAAACAAAGTGGCGGAATGGTGAATCAGGAGAAGTGGAAGAGGAGGGAACATTTGCAGGTGCATTAAGAGCTTGCCAGTAGGACCCAACTGCCAAATACTGTCCGTGTTGGTCACCAGTGCAGACTGCTACAGCATGCTCCTTTTTCCCTTTCTATTTCAGCTCTGATTAACTCTGCTGTCTGTGTCTTTCCAGTTCCTGTGGAGTGCTGTTGTCAATTGTGCTCTTGTTGGTAGTTTTTTCACTATTCTGCTTCTGTAACTGATCTACTAATTTGCTGTTTTGAACTCAGCCTTTGTCGGAATTATGGGTAACACAAGATCATACAAACTGCTAGACTGGAATAGTTTCAATTCAGGTATTTTATTAGTCATTCAGTACTACATATGCTGACAGAAATTATGGCAGCTCAGTGAAGTTATTAGAAATGCTCTAAGATCTTTAGGTTAATGCCTCAAATTTAAAACTATTTAATCATCAGATGCCTAAATGTCACATTTTCATACTGTTTAAAACTTTCTTTAAAATTACAAAACATTGTTTTAGTATAATATAGTATTGCTAAGAATAATTTAATATCCATCTGGAAAGCTGAATGTTCAGATGTTTATTTAGTAATCACTTTCAGCTCAGCATCCATGAAGGGAGTAATTTAGGATAAGAGAATGGATCCTTCCTTGAACAGTTGGGATTGTGTCAGGTGTGGGGTTTTGGTGTTTTTTTTTTTTTTTGGTTTGGGGTTTTTTGTGTAATGAGGTTTGGGTGCTTATTTTGGCCTGTTGGTTTGATTTGTGGGGACTCTTGGTTAATTTTGTTGTTTTGCATTGCCTTGCACTTTCTTCAACAAAGGCTTTCCTCCTGTTAATTTCAGGAAATCAATGAATGTGTTTGTTCTTAGTACTAGCTCTAAAATAATAGTTGTACTATAGATAGTGATAGAGCTAAAAAATATCCAAGAAAAGTAGAGATCTATCCGTTTAAAGAGAAGGGTAGTATGTAGCCCAGGATTTGTTGGTTCATAAAGCTTGTGTTGTAAAATGCAGCCAGTTACAGGACTTTAAACATAAGTATTTGAACTTTTTAATCAGTTCATTACCCAGCTAGAAAAAAGCCCCAATATTCTTACATTTTTATGCAGTTTCAGTAATCACAGTGTGTAACTTCCTTATGTAGTAGGCCTTGTCAGACCAGGTGTTGATAAAGCTGGCACCATTAAAGGTACAAAGCTGACTCCTGAGGGCTTGCTTCCCCCAGACACTTTCCTTCTTGGTAATTCATTCTTGCCATGCAGCTCTGTGTCATGCTCTGAAATTCACTTTAAATATGCAGTTATTAAAAACCAGACATTGTCCACTCTGCAAATTGTTCAAAAGTAGGGAGAGCTTAAAACCATTTGCTCATTTTTATTGTTCCTTTTACAGTAAGCATCCTTTAAAATTATGATTGTGATCTTTTCTGATTTTGTTTGTTTTCTTTGCTTGTTCTAAAGTGATAATCTTTTAAAAATTAACTTTCAGCATATAAAAAAATATTGTCAAATTCTCAGGTCTGTGACTGGTATGGCATAGTCTGATCCAAGGTGTTAAAAATGTGTTGAAATTTTTGTGTATTGTGTGCAACCTTGAAAAGTTGGAATTCATTGCTGCTTCTTCCAGATTGTTTAGTGAGATGTTTTTATTGAAAGAATTTGATTGGAATAATGAAGTAAATGAGTTTATGTACTGACACTAAGCGTGCCTTGACCTAGGCTAGAAAAGTGATCCACAATGTAAGACTAGGAGCAAAGTGCAAGTCAGGAATTCAGTTCTTGGCAGAATATCCAAAACTGTTGTCTAAATTTTTTAGCGATTACAGGAAAATGAATGTGCATTTCTGTGTAAATAAAGCATTTTCCCCAGAGGTGTTGGTTGGAGTAGAGAGGTCTCAAACAAGGAGTATGTGTGGAGTTAATCCCTGCTGAGAGCTGTGTTTGTGCAGCCTTGGTGTCTGTAGGAGAGCAGCTCAGCCCTGCTGCTTTGGGAGGAGCAGGTTGCACTCCTGTGTGGGTGGGCTTCAATCACAGCCATAAGTGGGCTAAAATTATTTTCCTTTTGGAAAACGTCCAGGCTTCATTTCAGCTTGCTTACTAACTGTGTAGTGCAGAAGGATATTTCATTTTTTTTTTATTTTGTCTTGCCAGTGGTTTAATTGTATGTAAGATACAGCAGGAGCCTCCAGTGGTAGTGAGATGTCAGAGATTTGAAGGTGCTTGAAAATCAAACATGGAGGTAAAGACTGACTACTTCATGAATGGAAAAGAAGCTGCTTAAATATCTGGGAGTTTCATGTAGTTCAATGAAGAATTGTTTAAATGTTTGTAAAATACAAAAAGGTGGATATGAAGATGAATTTGCAAAATGGAAGTAAAGAGTTGATGAAAAATTGATAGAAAAGAGGGCACATAATACAGTGGGAGATAGTCCCTGGGGCTGTCTCAGGGAAAGAATCAACTCTCAGGATAAAAACATGCAGGCATCCTCACTGCAGGAGGCTGGGTCTTTGTTCGAGGGTGGCACTGAGGTTAAACACAGAGCACAAAGGAAGGCAGTGCCACAACTTGCTGAGTAGAGGCTGCTTTTCCACGTGGCTGTTTCACAGCACCAACCTGTCATTTCTCACACAGTTAAATTTCACACTCCTCATTCGGGAAGCTGCTCCAGCAGTGCGTCTCCAGCTCCAGCGGTCAGAAATATGGGAAGACAAAAGATGGTTAAAGCCTTCCTCAGCATCTCCGAGCTCCCTGTGCGATACCCAGTCTCGCTGTTGGAGTGTGAAATGCTCCAGAGTCAGTTTTGCATATGAGGAGACACAAGAGGAAAGCTTGGCTCTGTTTTGTGTAACTGAATGCTTTTCTCCCACAGAAATACAGAGACTGTGCAAATGACATTTCCAGCTGCTCTCGGGGTGTCAGCGTGGCCCAGCTGTGGAGCACAGCAGGAAATGTCAGAATGTGCCTGCTGGTGTCTGCTGTGCTTATCCTTCAGACCCAGTAGTGAAAGCCCCAGCATTTGAAGGTTGGCCTCTTGCCTTTGCTTGGAGAATTTCCACCTTGGCTGCTTGCCCGTCAGTGTGTGTTGAATGAAAACGGGAGGTTGAAGCAGTTGTCAGAGGCTTTTTCTGAAAAGATTGAGGGGTGTGATGTTCTCCAGTAATAATAGACTCGTTTTCTGCAGAGGACTGAATGTTGCCAAGTCATTTCTATGGTTAATGTGAATGGTGTTTGAATATTATTTCTGGAAGCAGATATACCCTTATGCTAGTGAAATCATTTTCATTGGGACTGTGCTTTTTATTTTTGAGAGTTCTAAGTAGGTATTTATGTAGCTGAAGAAAGGGTGGTCACTGAGCACAGTACAGTATTCACCTGTTCTGTTAGAGATTCATGAATGAACTTGGCATTTCAATTCCTTGTTAAGAATCCTCT